TTAAATGTAATTGAAAACATTTCACAGAAAGCCCCAGACTCCCATAGCATCACTTCTGGATTCTTCCCAGTGTTGAGACAATAGATGGTAACTGTGTTCAATAAACTCATTCAGAGAAGATTAAAACAAGGAATATCTCCGGCCTTATTTCTGAGGCCAGCACACCTATGGCTGGTCGCACTGAGAGCCTTAGTTTTCTGAATCTCCCTACACCCGGGCCCCTTGCTTTCTTCCTGCCACAGGCTCTGGGCTTGGCCATTGGACCTGCTTTTGCCTGCGGGACAGCAGCCTCAAGAGGAAGCCTGAAAAAGTGCCTGTGGGCCTCTACGCTCTTTCTTGGCACCCAGGCCCTGCCAGAGGACGTGCTCGCCAGCCCCTGGAGGGGGGGACATGGGCAGCTCCCAGGCCACAGAGGAGGGAGCCCCGCCGGCTGACACCGCTCCCAATCAGCAGAATCTCCCAACCCGCGTGAATTCAGTGGTCTCAGCGCTTGCCCCATCCCTTGGCATCATGACCTGGCGGAAAGCCCTGAAGTCCTGGCCGCGTCACCAGCCGGGAGACGACGTCTTCATTATCAAGGTCTATCCCTCAAGCGAGAGGTACACACGCTGTCCCGGGAAGGGGGGGGGGGGGCCTGGTGCCACCTCCCTCCCACCTGAAGCGAGCAGATCTAGGAACCAGGGCAAGAAGGGAGGAGGGGGGGACCCTTCACTGCTGGAAACCTCTCACCTCCCGTCTCCACAATCTGGACGGCGCAACTCTTGTCTCGTGACCGCCTCCTTCAGTATCAGCCCTTCTCTGGGCTCCAGCAGCCACCTTCGTCTCCGCCCCCTGTGGCAGGGTGGGAACACTTGCCACAACTCCCAGCTTTCTCACTTCGTGAGCTTCCGCCACCTCTATCTGGACCTTTGTGAAGCTTCCATTCGTTGCCACGTCTTCGCTCGCTCTCTGTGAAGGTGAGAGCCCGGGAGGCCACGTCCTGACCAGCCCAGCGCGTGAGAACCATGGCATCATCAGGAAAACCGTGCATTACGTGTGAGTGTGTGCGGTATCTTTGAATGGCGTTTTATCGCTCGTGGATAAGGAGTCCAGATGGAATTATGTCCTATTCGTGTACGTAAAATAACTACTTTATTTGTGGGGTTCTTTCTCTCTTTTGGACACTCTTGTAAATATTATGACCGTATTATGAAGTTTTACCTCGTGTAACGTGTTCACAGTATTAGTGCCAAATTTAAGAATTCTTTCAGCCATCGATCGTAAATACACTCTTTACTTAAGAAATTGCCTTTGATGCTTCTAAGTCTCCATTCCTTTGTAGAATAACACCCAGGATGAAGACCATTTTGCTAAGTTCTGTGTCCCTGACCACCCAACGTTGTACCTAAAAGCTATTTATGTAAATGAATGGATTATTAAATGAAGGATTTGATACCCATAGTTCAAGTTCATGTTTTTAAATTTTTTTTTCTTTTTTTTTTTTAATTTTTTTTTTCAACGTTTATTTATTTTTGGGACAGAGAGAGACAGAGCATGAACGGGGGAGGGGCAGAGAGAGAGGGAGACACAGAATCGGAAACAGGCTCCAGGCTCCGAGCCATCAGCCCAGAGCCCGACGCGGGGCTCGAACTCACGGACCGCGAGATCGTGACCTGGCTGAAGTCGGACGCTTAACCGACTGCGCCACCCAGGCGCCCCTGTTTTTAAATTTTAATACACGCTGTGAGTCTCTGAGTCCTTTAATTTTCTGGGATTTCCTCTTCTTCAATATCACACGCACATGCACGTGTGCACACACATCCGACCCTACACAATATGGAGAATCCAATATAGACCATAGAGATGCTCATGGCCATCTGAGTCCATTTTTTTTTAATTTTAGAAAGAGACAGAGAGTGGGGGGGAGAGGGGCAGAGGGAGAGAAAGAGAGAGTGAGTGAGTGAGAATCTCAAGCAGGCTCCACGCACATCACAGAGCCCCATGCAGGGCTCAATCCTACGACCCTGATCATGACTTGAGCCAAAATCAAGTCAGAGGCTCAATTGACTGAACCACCCAGGTGCCGAACTCCGTGTATTTTACAGCTGAACTACCTAACTCCCTAACAAGGGGTCGGCACCCTCTTCTCTGTAACAAGTAAACCGGAACATAAGATGCGGCAGCTTTCTTGTAGTTCCCCCACAAACCCAAACATGAAGCTATCGCATACTGCATAATTTTACCAAAATTGGGTGTCATGAGTCAGTTCACCCACAGAACAACTGCCAACTTATTTACCCTTCAGCCCTTTACCTGAAGTGTCTCCGTCATCCCCAGAGTCTTTGGCTGATGAACTTTCTTCCCCAGAAAGCGAAGCCTTTTATATATTTTTATATTTTTATTTATGTGTTTTTATATATGTTCTACTGCCTGCCGTTCTTCCAATGCCAGCTTTTCGACTCTTCTTACCCCCCGCACTCATTCTTCTGACCTGTCTACAGAAAGTGAACATTTCTCTTTCTTCGCTTTTTAAGGTAATTTATGAGAGAGGTGGTCACGTAAAACTGTAAACTCAAAACTAGAAACTCTTCTAACAAGCCACCTTCAGCGTAGGGATCATGACCTTTGTCCTGGTAATCAGAGTCAAAAAACCAAAATCACTTTTTGTTCTAAACAACACTTTTTTCCTGGCATGCGGGCAGTTTGGAACACCGTTTTGTGTGGCGTAACATCTTGAACTTCCTTCCTCTGCTCCGTTTCTGCCAAGGACGCGGTGGGCGAGTCAAAGGTGCCCCTGGATCATGGCCAAGTACCGGGAGCCGCGGTAGACGAGGGCCCATTCTGGGCACGAACGTCTGCAGGATGTGTGTGCAAGATGTGTGTGCAGGTGTGTTGTGTGCCAAATAAGAAACCGTGCTGTGGGTGGAGGGCAGGGCATCCTCCAACCCGTGAGTCCCGGCAGCTTTGGCGAGGAAGGGAAGAGTTGGACGGAACTCTCTGCTTCTACTTATACAAAGCAGAAGCTACTTATACAAAGACAAAGAAGCTTCTACTTATAAAGAGGGTGACCAGGACTCTCAAATCAAATTCTCTGTGACACACACCCACCTCTGTCTCCGTCTCTCCCCCCAAGCTCTTGCACATCATAGATCTTCTTCCCTACCTCCACATCATCTTTCTAGAGCATCTCGTCAGCACAAAATATTTTCCAGAGCAAATGTGTCTCCATCCTTCTCTATGAACAGCATCTACACAAAACCCATCCGTTTATATCTGGTCGGTGTCAAACAAGGTAAGCCTTTGTAGGAAAGTGAGTGCCTGTGTCCGAGAGTTCTTCCTTCTCTCTCCCATATTTCCCTGCTGCCTTTTTCCCTTTTGCCATGTTGGCCGGTCTAGTCCCCAACTGTAACATCCTTAAATATTTGCTTTATTCTCCTCCACTTTTTTCCAATGTATCTGTGACCCTTCCATCCAGAAAATGCTACTCACCGCTATTGTCATCCTACAATCGTAAACTCCGTCAATTTAATTACCCACAAAATATCTCCTGGCTAAGCAGACAGGGGTGCATTTGGCCGGGTGGCATTTACAATGAAGTCCAGCTGATAGCACGAGGTGGAGAGATCTCAGAAATTGATGGAAACACGCACGCATGCAGCTGTTTGTGTGTTTGCTAATTTTCTTTGCATGGAAGTTTTACTTTATCCTGTCCTTATTTAACCTGTAGCCCAAGTGTGCTAGGTAGTATGAGCCACACATATAAGAGAGGTTTGGAATTGCATCACGAAATCTGTTTTCTGTCAAACACTGAGAAAAAACACAGTACTTAGGCTTTTGATTTGGTTCGTGAGGACACTTACTTTGTTACAGAATGGGTGTAAGGCCCTGATCTGTGAATTGGAGAGGAGAATATCTATGTGGAAAGGGTATTACAAGCATTAATGAATAAATGTATATCACCAGTACATATCCTTACATATAATAAATACTATTCCATACTACCCAAGTATAAGAATGATTGTCTATTTATTAATATATCAGTCATCCTGATATATGGATACAGACATCCCCCATATCAATTCAATCAGAATAAAGAGTCAATGTTGACATTTCCCATACGCTTCTTGGGGTTTTGATTGTTTACATTGTGTTTTGAGTTCGAGTTTCCAAAAAAGCCAGTGTATCTCACTACTTAAAACATTTTTTTAATATTTATTGATTTTTTGAGAGACAAAGAGAGATGGAGCATGAGCAGGGAAGGGGCAGAAAGAGAGGGAGATACAGAATCCAAAGCAGGCTCCAGGCTCTAAGCTGTCAGCACAGAGCCTGATGCAGGGCTCAAGCCCACGAACCGTGAGATTATGCGTGGCCTCAGCGGAAGTTGGACGCTTAACCGAGTGAGCCACCAAGGCACCCCTCACCACTTTAAAACCTAAATTGCCTCCTCGTAAGATCTTAATACAGTCGTCCTGGCCTGTGTGTGTAACTAAGTCAGACTAAAGATCTCTTTATTTGAAGAGGGTCTCATGTGTCTCATTTGAATAAACAATGACTCTCATTTGAATAAACAATTATGCTTTCAAAATGTTGTAAATATATACAACTTATTCCAAAAGTACTCTGTGTTTTCCACGAAAATTCTCCCATGGAACAAATGTGTGGTGTATTTTGCAGTTTTTTTTTTTATGAACTAAGACAGGTTTGGAGATTCATATACAGGATATGCAATTATTTATTTATTTTTAGTAGGATTTTGAGTTAAAATAAAAATATGTGTGTACACACACACACACACAGGTTTTGATTTGCCTTTATCATGCTTGCCTCTGCCCTGACTGTCCTAAGATGCCCTACCTCCTACATCCATTTCCAAGTAATCCATTTTACTTGGTTTTCTGGAACAAAGAAATACGTCTATGGTGTTTCTAAGCTACATGTAGCATCACAGTCTTCCACTCTGTTCTTCACTAAAGAGCGGATGTTCTCTGGAAAGGACGTTTAGGTTGCCTCCACATTCTTACCTCTTCCCTGTCGGTGACAGCGAGCCCATTCACACGCTGCGCTCTGCACAAAGTTTAGATTAAACTCTTCGGTCACAAGTCGTTTTCTTTAAACCTCAGCCTAGGAGAAAGCACGTTCCTCCCCTCCATGCCTTCTCTTCCTCCCCTTCGTCCTCCCTTCTCTCATCCTCCTGCTTCACAAAACTTGGATCCGACTCCTGTCTTTTCTCTTGACTGTACCTCATGAACTACTCTCCATAAGCCAACGTTTTCTCCCGTCATGATTTGAACGGTTCTATTAGATTCCACCCCCCACGAATGCCTCTCGTGTATTTTACTCTTCCCTATTATTAAAGCCACCCTTTGAGTTTCAAAGCAGATGTTGTAGAACTTCCCTATGCAAAAAGCGGGGCTAGCAACTGGACCTTTTCCCCATGGTGGCCACCTCGATGTTCTCCCTGCGACTTATTTCCAGGTCTGCTTATTTCCCTGCGACTTATTTCCAGGTCTGCTTCCACTTCGTATCATCATGAACTGCACACGAGCTTTGCATCACAAGCCATGCCATTTTTTGATGTGTTAGGAGTTTCTGCCTCTCCGGCAACTTCCTCAGCATCCCGCAGGCTTGCTCTCTGGCTGGGTAGACCTACTCAGGTCAGCAGTTTGATCGCTAGTCGTGCAGACATGACCCACTGGACTATGGATGTTCTTTGTGCTTCTACTCTTACCATTCAATTACCAAAATTCATGGAGTAGTCATTGCATGGCCAATCCCATGCGAGGCATGATTTAAAAGGTGCAGTATGGGGGCGCCTGGGTGGCTCAGTCGGTTAAGCGCCCGACTTCAGCTCAGGTCACGATCTCGCGGTCCGCGAGTTCGAGCCCCGTGTCGGGCTCTGGGCTGATGGCTCAGAGCCTGGAGCTTGCTTCCGATTCTGTGTCTCCCTCTCTCTCTGCCCCTCCCCCGTTCATGCTGTGTCTCTCTCTGTCTCAAAAATAAATAAACGTTAAAAAAAAAATTTTTTAAAGGTGCAGTATGGAGGTCTCTGATGCTGAGGATAAAAATGGCAATAAAATAAAGCGGTGGTATGTTAATGGGTAACATTATCTAACACAAGTATCAGAAACTATCTTACGCAGGCAGGGTATATTTATTATTTACTTCTCACAAGAATCCGTGAGCCTGTACTACTTATCATCGTTCTTATTTTGCATGAAGAAAACGAAGGAACCAATAGGTTTACATCATGTTCCCCGAGGTCACGGGTACCTGGAAGGGAAGGATGCCAGGACTGGATTCCAGGCAGCTTAGTGCTGGGTCTGAACTCCATCTTTATAACACGACTGGGGGAGACAAGCAGGATATTCAAGGAAAAAAAGCTGAAGAATGAAACAGTTCCTTATCCAGTGCTAAGTTACTGAGTAAAACTAATCTGTGTAACAAGGTATGAATTGGGTGGCATGGAACCGGGGCTAGAAACTGAGGGCTTCTCAGACAAGGGCAGTTAGGGAATTGCCCATGGAGAAGGTGTAGATGGGCAGGGAAGAAAGATCAAGGCAACCCTCACAGAGGGAGTCAAGGCAGGACAGATACACTCTTTCGCGCCAATGTCGGTTTTGTATTTTTATTTCGCCAATGAGCATAGTGTGGGTGTTGATATTATCTCTCTGGCGGTGAGAACAGTTGTGGTGTTTTCTATGTTTCTATAGATGTAGCTTCTACAACAAATCCCAACTCCTGTGAGGGCCGCTGGAGTAGAGCAGTGTGCAGGCTCTCAAGAAGAGGTCCTAACACGCTCCAGACCACGAGATGGTCACACAGCCTCATGGCATGTCGTGTGATGACTGGCCGGGGACGCTATGAAATAAAAGCCGAGGCTACGATGTATAACTCGACCTCCCTCTTGGGCAGAGAAATGTCTCATCAACTCCAACTGAACAATAATGACCTTACTCTTGTACGTGTGAGTCCACGTGAATTTCTCCAGGCCACCAGTAGCTTTGTAGCTCTGAGCAGAAACTGATTTCTTCGATGGGGACTCCGATGTTTCTTCAGATCCCTCTTATGCCATCCCACAAGAGAAGCATCTTTCCTAAAGTCATGTTATGACTTTAAGGCACTCTGCAAGGATAAGCGTTCACTGAAATTTCCTTTGGTTAACATGTGCCAGTCGTGGTGAAAAGTTACGTTACGGTAAGTATTTCCAGGATGCTTGCTTTCACTTAAACAATGTGCTATTTTGAAAACTTGGACCAACTTAGGATTCGTCTTTAAAAAAAAAAAAATCATCCCGATCCATTATTCAGTATGTTGGTAATTTATCACTAATTCTGATCATTTCAAAAGAAAATGAACAACAACAACAACATCATCTCCTGTGTTTCATGTATCCAACTGCATGGCCTGTGGGTTACTCATGGCCCTGGGTCTTGTAGTCGCATCTGCTAGTAGAATTAACTTTTTGTGAAATGTTAGAGCTGTAATTCATTTTTGCTAGAAAAAATGGAAAATCTTATATAGAAAGGAATCTTTACTTTAGCAATTTTGAGTAACTGTGACAAAACTCCCAACTATGTTTTCAAGGCCTTGCTGAAGGTATCAGCTTTCCTTTTAAGGCAAGGTCAGATTTGCACTTTGTAACAGAAAAAGTGAAGAGAATTCATGCTTTGTGACCTTCCCAGATTAAATAACATATTCAAATCTGGCATGAAATAGGGACCTCCTGATCACAGGGGATACACTGTCCTGTGTTCTTCATTCTAAATAGAAGCTCCTTGGGGCACCTGGGTGGCTCGGTCAGTTGAGCATCCGACTTTGGCTCAGATCATGATCTCCCAGTCCGTGGGTTCGAGCCCAGTGTCGGGCTCTGTGCTGACAGCTGGGAGCCTGGAGCCTGCTTTGGATTCTGTGTGTGTGTCTCTCTCTCTATGCCCCTCCCTTGCTCTCTCTCTCTCTCAAATAAATAAATATTAAAGAAGTTAAGTAGAAGCTCTTTAATAATCCCAGAGCACATGTTACCTGGTGTATAGTGAACCATCACCCGATGTTACATAAGATCCTATTTTCTGAATTTTCTGAGACATCTAGGATTGAATTTTGTTTTTACTTTGGTAGGACAGTTCAGGAGTAAATAGAATAATTTTTGTCATTAGTAATTTATTAATCTTCTTCATGCTTTATCTGCTTTTCATTTCATTCATGCTTTCATATTAGTCGTCTTAGCCTCTCTTATGGCCAAGGGTTTGCTCTAAATGCTAATGCCATGTATTTCTACATCAGCTTGGGTAAGCGGGAGGCCCTCTCTTCTCTCCCACAGGAAGGATGATGTCTCTCGCTCGAAGACTGAAGTAGTTAGTTCCACATAGGTGTCAGATCCTAGTTGCCTTTCCCTTTGTCCCGTAATGCTTAGATTGACTAGCTCTTAGTCTACAAACTTCATTATAAGAATTAAATATGAATCATTGCTTTGCCTATCGTTCAGAATGCAATTCTTGTTGCAATTCTCTCCTGACAGGATAAAGCTGCCGATTCAGGTGCTGACGTGTGAATCAGACTCCGGTGATGATCCCAGCTGGAAGAGAAGAGGGAAAAATAGCATAATGTCTGTTTGGCTTTCAGCATTTGGTCTTCCTAAAATCACAGAGCCGGGACGGACAGACACGTTGTCGTTTGAAATTAGGGAATCCACAAGCTCTGTGAATACACTAGTGATAATGTTTTAAGTGTTTGGTGGCAAAATGACCATTAATCGATGGAATTCTACAGTCTTGATAACTTAGCGATCTGTGACGGCCCCTCTGTTAGCATGGATAGATTTCTGGAGACGGAAGGGAACAGCCCTCTCTCACCCACAGTGATGCTTCTTCGAGGCACCACACATTCTTGCAGCTGGACCACAGAGTGGCTGCGTGGACACTTCAACCGCTAGACCTCCTGCAAAACAATGCAATATATCTCTCTTTCTTTCCTCTCCACCCTCTCTCTTTATTCCTCAGTAGAATTCCACTCCATCATGCCTTGCTTACAGTGACCTCTCATTTTGTGGGAAGAAATCTATTATTTCTCTCCATCATTAAAGATATACTCAGGGAATATGGTTTCCTCTCAGTCACGCTAATATTATAAATTAAACTATTATTATAAATTAAACTATTTCACCTTAAAGAAATATAAAAATGTATGAAGAATCATGAGGGTTTTTTTAAATTTTTTTAATGTTAATTTAATGTTGAGACAGAGAGAGAGACAGAGTGTGGGCAGGGGAGAGGCAGAGAGAGAGGGAGGCACAGAATCCGAAGCAGGCTCCCGGCTCTGAGCTGTCAGCACAGAGCCTGATATGGGGCTTGAACTCACAAACCGTGAGATCGTGACCTGAGCGGAAGTCGGATGCTCAACCGACAGAGTCCCCCCAGACGCCCCGTGAGTTTTTTTCATCCTGAAAATAATCACACAATAATTAAGGAGAACACATTAGGAGAATACAAATGTGTTCTTCAAATATGAAAAAAAGGGGTATGATTCCTAAAACAACCCGCTGAAGTATGTTTTTCCGAGCAGGTCGGTGGTGAGGACACTGGATGCCAGTTTGTCTGTTTTCATTGGGCATCACACCGTTAGGACCTGAAGGCTTACACTGTGCCACCGCCTACAGATTTATCCACCTGGTGGGGGGTTTCCATCTGCTGGAAAGTAAGTCATCAAATGGTGGGGGAAGAAGGCAGGAATCTCACAAAATCCTTCCGTCTTTTCTTGAAACCAACACCAAGGAAATGGGAGTCTGAGGCTTGCAAGGCACTGTCCCTGGTCCTGATGAGGACGAGGTCTAGGGGAAGAGGGAGAGCGGCCGCCCAGAGACCACAGGGTTTGTGAGCGGAGAGGACATTTGTAGCCCAGCATAACAAGGACCTGGTCTCCGCTTTGGCATTTCGAGCTGTCAGTTTACCTCCATTTGCCTTATCCTTACAAGAGGGGAAAACCACTTTTCTCAAATGGTCTTTTCTTCTTCATCTTTTTTTGTTTTTCTTGTTTGTGTTTTGAGTTGTGTTGAGTTGGTGGGGATGATGTGATTACATTGCACACGCATATAATCCCAGTGGGTCTAATAGGGCCCCCCCATGCAGGTCCCCCCCCAAAACCTCAGAATATTACCTTATTTGGAAATAGGGTCTTTGAGGATGTAGTCATGAAAAAAAATTGAGATAGTTCATGCTGCATTAGGGTGGGCTCTAAATTCAATGAAAATATCCTTATGAAAAACAGAGAAAGGACACACAGAGAGAAGGATATGAAGACCGAGGCAGAGCCTGCAGTGACAGGACCACGGATAACAGGCACCACCAGAGGCTCAAAGAGGCAAGGAGAGAACTGGGCCCCTCCAGAGAATCCAGGGAGAGAGAGGCCCTGCTAACACCTTGACGTCAGACCTCCAGCCCCTACAACTGCGAGGAAATAAATTTTTGTTTTAAGCCACCAAGTTTGTGGTATTTCATTAGTGTCAGCCCTAAAAAAAACTATTACAACATGGGCACATGGGGGGGCTCAGTCTTTAAGCATCCGACTCTGATTCTGCCTCAGATCATGATCTCACATTTCATGAGTTCAAGCCCCCCATCAGGCTCTGCAATGACAGCTCGGAACATGGAGCCTGCTGGGGATTCTCTCTCCCTCTCTCTCTGCCCCTCTCCTCCTTATTCTATCTCTCTCTCCATCTCTCTCTACGTAACATAAATAAGCTTTATTTAAAAAAAAAAAGAAACTATTACAACAGGTCTACCGCATGGTCATTGTTTAATTAATTAGGTGGATCTCATTAGATTCTTTCAATAGGTTTTGTCAAGACAGACAAAAATGAGCAGAAGGCTGATGCAGAACTTTCTCACATGTGAAAACTTCAAAACCTTCACGAAGGCAGGCAGCATTCCTAAGAAATGACCTGTTGACTGAATTGGTTGTGCTTCTCTTGATGGTTTCACCATCCCTTATGACCTCCAGCTTTGGTTTCCTAGTGATGCTTCCTCTTCCACTATGGATGGGAGATCACTACAGAAGACTGTGTTAGGCTAAATTTTTTGTGAAAAGAAAAAGAAGGAAGGAAGGAAGGAAGGTAGGAAGGAAGGAAGGAAGGGAAAGAAAAAGAGGGAGGGAGGAAAGGAAGGAAGGAGGAGGGGAG